CGAGATGTAATAGACAGACAGGCACAAAGGTAGAAATAAAGGTAAGGTAAGATGAGAACTATGGAAGTGGTGGAATATGAAATACAGTGGGGTGATGGTAGTTTGAAGTCAGAAGTCAACTACCGGTTTGTAGATCTTTTTACCGCATGAGTATACGCTGCCCAGGGTGTACCACTTAGAGATTAGTCCATCGCACATACCATCCAAACAATATAATCTCCCAATATCTCATCACTGATGGATAAAATAGCATTAAAAACAATTAAACGTTTTAAGATTTTAGACCATTGTTTTTAACTATGTTGCTTATTATTTGCCATAAAAGGTTTTCTCCATTGCCTGAATATAAAATCGAATAAAATTTGAAAAGTAAGTGGCAACACATTTCCTTCTAAAAGAACCTGTAATCAATGATAAAAAGCTTTTGATATGAAAATCATTAAAGAAATGTTCTTTATGTTACGTTAGAAACAGAATACTGAAAGATTTCCTTAAACCCTTAAGTCGAAGGATTTGTAATATATAAATCGAATGGAACTTTATTTACCCCAAAATATTTGGTGCTATTTTGACGATAATCTTTTTTTGAGTTACCATAAAGTATAAATATCAGTTTCAATTAAAAATGCAATGTATAAATCATATAGTTTCATTAAGAGAAGCTTAATTAGGTATCATTGTTGGTAAATTATCAACAATTATGGTAGTGTGCGCTTTGACTTCCATCTGAAAAAATATTTTTTTTTCGAAATTATCGGACTTTATTATGTTCATGCTACATATTAATAAATGGCCTTATTCAAGGTCACCTAAATTGTAATCAACTTTTGAACAAACTACTATATCTGTTTTGGCCTTCGGACATTATTGCATAATGGTTTAGCATCTTCCATATTGACAGTATATATGAATATATAGGTAAAAGGCAGATAGTCATAACTAATACCAGGAATTACCTTCATTTATTCACCACGGTAATCGATATTCCACCACCAATCGATGTAACTGTTTCTAAAGACATGTTAATCAAGCCATTTTAAAACAGTAATCATTTTTTTCGAATTTTAAAGCGAACTCTACTGTTACATTTGGATTAAGCGATAAGAATGACAAAATATGACAGCCAATCAAACCCCACCACAAGGCAAAATTTAAACAGTTTTACTTGCTGAAAGAAGTGCGATAAATGTTAAAGGAGAGAGGAACCAAATATGCTGAGAAAAACGTCGATATTTGAACATTCTAAAAGCATTTCAATTTATTGATTCTTGGTTTCCCATATTCACAAAATGTGTAGTTCACCTTTAACAATTCGAATCTCATAATTTTGTTCCTGCAATAGATTTCTCGTGTTTATTGAGGAAATCATCTAGTCAAGAAGGGTGAGTCCTGTCACTTTCCTTCGTTTTTTAATTCGCCATTATGATAAGAAAAAATAATCCCTTATGATATTTACTGGCTTACATTTTAAACGTGTCATGACCAAACAATCACAGGTTCTATAATTTAAACATGCTATTTCTTTCATTAAGATTAAAATGATTAAATTCTTTCCCTTTTTGATCCACACGGAAATCAAAAGCAACTCCTAAATGGATTTGAAAGGAAAATCACTAGTTTTGATATACTTATAAAGAAATCAGGAAATGGAAGAAATGAAACGTCTGTACAATCAAGCTCCGGCGACAAGGTGGCGGACCCAAATGCATGCGTTCTAAAATCAATTAGAAAGGCTTTGGAAGTTTGTACTAATACTCGTTAGAAATGAAAAAAATAACATTTTATTTCAATTTAGTTTCATTAAAAAGATTACCTTATCGGAAAGAGATCATACAACTATTTTTAGTGTGTAAAGAGGATAAAACTTGCATCATAGATGCCTAATTATTTATTTAACTTATAACTTAAATTTTATTAGTCATATTAGCCTAATGATAATTATTTCAGTCAAGCAAATATAGCAAATTCAACAAGACCCTTGGAATTGATAATTTTGCTGCAATTTTTATCCCTCTTTATTTAACTTTATCATATACTTTGTAGCCAATTGTTCTTTGTAAATAGGGATATTTCGAAATCTTATCGGTTCATCAAACTGAAATATGCAGTTCCACTTCTACTCACTGGAAAGGGTACACTGCATTTTATGCCTATCAAAATAGGCTCAACAGCATTAATGACCTAAATAACCAACTCCAAACTATTCTCTAACAGTTGAAACTGACAAATGGTTCAAAACATAGTTGCTCCCATGAGTTTTCATATTTTTTTTCTATGCTTCGAAATCAACCCAAATCAATCCACGCACAATTTTTTCTCTGATTAGTCCTTTTAATCGAAATTATTAACCTAACTTTTAGCTCTTTAAGTTAATTTTTAAATAAATGAGTTTCAATTTTTAAGGATTAAGGAAGTTATATGAAGATATTTATTTATTTATTTCAAATGGCAGGCGTTATGATAGCTATCATTAGCCATTTAGCTGACTTCGGGCTTCACAGAAGGAAGGTTCATCAAAGTAGCAGAAAGTCGAGGGGGGGGGATCAGAAGAGCGATTCACAGATGTAAAAGAGGCAGACAGACACAAAGGCATAAAAAAGGTAAGATGAGTACTGCGAAAGGGGTCGAATATGACAAATAGTCGGGCCATAGAAGTTTGAAGTCAGGAGTCAACTGCCGTTTTGATAGATTTTTTGCCGTATAAGTATACGTTCCCCAGGGTGCACCACGTGGAGGTAAGTCTAATATACGTTCCCCAGGGTGCACCACGTGGAGGTAAGTCTATTGCGCACCCCACCCCCCGGGACGAAGTGAAATCACCAAAAAAAGCTGAAGATGGACCCGCAAATTATCACTTTGGGCGTTTGTCCTCCAACAGATCCAGCAATCAACAAAATCCTCCCTCAAGAAACCTTCAAAAAGCACGGCGATGAACTTTCAAAGGGGAGTTGAATGAAAGGGAATATTTTTATTCAAAATAAGCTGAACTTAAAGTAGCCATAAAACGTTTTCATTAATTTTATTATCAAGTATATGTCCATTGTATATAAGTCTCAAAGTATATCTAAACTGTGGGTTATGTGATAGACTTACCTCCACGTGGTACACCTTGGGCAACCTATATTCATCATACGCCAAAAAGAGTCTATAAACCAGTAGTCAACTTCTCACTTCAAACTATCATGACCCCGCTGAGTGACATATTTGACAACTACCACAGTACACATCTTACCTTTTCTCTGCCTTTGTGTCTGTCTGTCTGTCTCTTTTACCTCTGTGAATCCCCCTTCTGTTCCTCTTCTCCACTTTTTGTTACCTTGATGTTCCCTCTCCTCTCTAGTTGAAGCCCGAAGTCAGTTAAAAGGCTAATGACAACTATCAAAAAGCCTGCCATTAGATATAAATAAATACCTTCATCCACCTCTTATGAAGTGGAAAGCTCTGCCAATGACGGAACTCCTGTGGTGTCAGACTCACAGCGCCGTGATCCCGCATAGCTGTCGAATCAAAGTTAACCAACCCTCAAATTCGAATAAAGACGTGTTTATGAAAATTTTCTCTTCCCTTTTNGGCAGGCGTTATGATAGCTATCATTAGCCATTTAGCTGACTTCGGGCTTCACAGAAGGAAGGTTCATCAAAGTAGCAGAAAGTCGAGGGGGGGGGATCAGAAGAGCGATTCACAGATGTAAAAGAGGCAGACAGACACAAAGGTAGAGAATAAGGTAAGGTGAGTACTGTGAAAGGGGTCGAATATGACAAGCAGTCAGGCCATGGTAGTTTGAAGTGAGAAGTCAACTGCCGGTTAATAGACTTTTTTGCCGTATGAGTATACGTTGCCCAGGGTGCACCACGTGGAGGTAAGTCTATCGCACACCCCCTATGAAGATATATATTCAACAAAACGGAAATCATAAAGCAACCTCTCTGTTCCTTCCATTTGCTATTATTAAAATTCTTGAGCGTTCAGTGCTTCAAAAGGACAGCAAAATGAGCCATTTAAAAATGCGACAATTAAATTAAAAAGATGGGATTTAAATCTTTCAAGCCGTCCTTTCAAAACATTTTGGTATATTTCAAAAAGGGTGCCTTGACATGTTTTTCATCTGTCTGGACAAACTCATGATGCATATCTCATTAAAGCCTGAAACATGCGCAATAAAATCATTACCAATGGGCAAAGCCCACCTTTTAAAAACAAATGAAATTAATGAAAAAGTCTACTTGTGTCCCGAATGACAACAACAAAAATTGAATAAAGTCAAACATCTCACTTGAGAATGTTTAAATGTAGATTAACTTAACAAGACACCTTCAAATACTTGCAATTTGCAAAGACAGAGGTCGCAAAAATAGAGCGAAATTTTTTAATATTTAATAAAGTCGACACTTAGAAAAGTGTACAAATTTTACATTTTTTTGCGCGTTCCATGTGACCGCATTTTGTCATAAATGGAAATTATACGAGACTAGTGAAAAAGTACAGTTTTTGAAGAGATTTATTTATAATCTTGTTGGTTGATCAGCTTAGGCAATTAGTAATATTAATAACTTGGTCAATTTATAGAAAAAACACATGAAATATTCTTTAAATAAGCATATCTTCTTATTTAAGGTAAAAGGCTATTTCTAAATGGTAAGTTCCATGACTTTTCAATACGTGATTTTCTTAGTTAGTCCTTTCTTTGTTGAATATTAAGAAAATGTGGTCAAAGTGAATAGTGGGCCATCTTCTTAACAAAATGATTAAAATTATCTTATAGTGAATAAATATTAGGCCAATGGTGGGAAATATTTCATTGGTAAGTTAAAAGAGACAGTAAAACAACATTTGAACAAGGTAGAAAATTGTTCGTCAATCAAAGCAAAGAGCAAATGGCTGAATTACCGCCTGCTTTCTGTTTGTCCTAAAGAGCCGTGGCGGATATGAATAAACGCAACACAACAAGAAGTTAAAGGACAGAGAAGAGCTTTACAAATATCGCGAATTTCTGTCAGTATTCAATCCAGTTTTGTTATATCAGGGTTTGTATTGACAACATTGACATGAAGCACATAGCAAGGCTTTGGATGGGCAATTGGAAACGAATTGTCTGGAGCTTCTGTGTTGAATTTTAGAGGTTTGTGCTCCTCATGGTAAATTGCGAATTTGGATGAAGCGGAGTTATGGCGAAGCCGTTTAAGCGTATGAATATTACAACGGTTTGAGTTATCGTGTGCATTAAGACTTGATTCATAATTGGCAATTTCTGTTAAGAGGGAGCAAGATCCGTATTTTTGTCTGTTAGGCAAGTAATTAATTCCATCAGAAGACTGTCGGAAGTAGGGATTAGGTGAAACGGCGGATGTAGTTCGAGGGGAATCGGTGAACTGCTCAAGGGACCCATGAGAACATTGCCCACTAGGATTACTAGAAGCGTTGGCGAGAAGAGAGACTGTGGATAACCTGAGCTCATCGAAAGCTTCCGTAAGAGGTGGAGCCAACAATGTAGTACTTGAGACATCATGGCATTTGGGTTTCGCCATTTTATCCCTCTATCTGAGTTATGCAGTTAAAACCCAGCAAAGCAGTCTCTTCTCGGACATCACAATAAACTGGCCTATACGCAATTATATTACTTAGCGAATGATTGGGCAATCGTGAGCCAATGAATGGAAGACAAACAGTGGGCGAAATGTATAACGCGAGATCTGGTGTTTAAGTAACAGTAATGAATGTGAGAACTAAAACATTATGCTCTGTTTCATTTTAACTTTCTGTTGACTTAAAAGTGCATTATATGGCTTTAAAATAATTCATTTTTCATCTGGTATAAAGATTATTGGGCAAATCAAATCAAACTTAGTGATCTTGGGACTATTTTGAAATAAACTTCCGCTTTCTAAACCATCAGAGAAGATGTTATAATTATCATTTGGAAATCGCATATTTTTTAACCTTCAATAGTAGTAAATTCATATTAGAAGATATTCAAGAAAATTGAATTTGCTCCGCTTTTAAGCAAGCACAATGAATATGTATAAGATTCAAGTGATTATCTGAGCTTGTATTTTTCGGAAGTCTAAATGCAGTTATATATTTTCGTTTCTAGCAAATCCGAACGTTATTTTATCAAAATTGTCTCAAATGATAGTCAAACGTCCTCACAGACGCATCAAGTGATATTTCATGCCAACATGTCAAAGTAAAATGTTTTTTAACACCCAATCAGATTGATTTGTTAGAGCGAACTGGCCGAATTAGTAGAGTATCTTGCCTCAAAATAAACAACGAATAATATCAAGTTGAATCTTGAGCAATATGATGTCCACCGACTTTGTGTTCTTTTTCTTTTGATGAGCATCCGATAACTGAGTACAGAGATATGAGTTACTGAATGCATATAGCATGGAGTTATCGAGTCTAAAGACATCACAGATTCTGCTATTAGACACGTAGGAAAGTTGTAATTTCTATATTGTAATCAATTCCTTCAAAGTCTTCAAATTTCTACCTTCTCTCCCCATACAATATATTATTGTAAGGAATGCGTTTCAACACATTATTGGGATGTAAGCAAAATTTCTACGTGCATGGCTGATATTTACCAGTCACATAGTCTTAAAGCTATTTAATCATAAAATATATTATCATATTACTAAGCTAAACTTTAAATAATATAAGGATATATTTTCTTATTTATATTTGTAAAAATTAATGACACCAATATGTTTCATATCAACTTCTAGAGGGGAAATAGAGAAGATTTAAATTATTTCATTTAAAACTATGATTCGAAAGAATATAAAAAATCAAAACAATTGACTTATTGAACGGAACAATATATTCATGCCTTTAGAAAATTAACTTGACAATTCTTTTTCGTCAAATTTTAGCTTTACTAAATAATAGTTTTAAGACATGAAACGCAATTGTTAGGAATGGTTGAAATAAGCATATCAGTTACTACGCAGTGGAGACATTTAAAGGGTTCCTATTTTTAAATTGAAGAAGATAATGAAAAATAACATATTTTTTTAATACACATTACTTCATGGAGCAGTGAATTAGATGGGAAAAATTTTTTCAGCATAAAAGCCATATCTTCTGCCAAATTGTCGGTGTTAGGCGGTGCAAGTGCAATCAGTATATTTAAATAAAACAGTAATTTGGGTTCTGACCATAGGCGTTTTAATTTCCCAAAGAATTTGAAAATGTCTAATGCGAATCGGCAAATTAGCCTACTTTAATTTTCTAACAAATTTTTATAGCTCTTTCAGATTATGGTTATGAATTCTTTTAGTTTCCACGCAAAGCTCAAAAATTCATTTTCTTTAGATTAAACTGATATATTCCCAATTTTTAATTTTCAAATAGTCTCAATCTGATCGCTTATTTTGGTGATAAATATTGATAAGATTAAGAATAATAAATATGGTTATTTGTGGACTTTTGGATAAATTCAAATATTAAGATCAGTGTTAATATTTCACAAATTACAATAAGGCAAATTATAACAGCAAAACTTCGAGATTATACAGATAGGACATTTAATACTACTCATTTTAAATCAGTATCACGAATTAATACATAATAATAATGACCATAGTGAAATGGCATATTTAAATTCAAAATGCTTTCAAATGACAGAAATTTGGCCTGATGCATATATATCAATAATCGTGTCTTTAAATACATTTGCCTTTCCTGGTGGAGCACAGTCAGAAATAAGTAGTGATTTGATTCTAACGCTTCATCCTACACTTTACAACTTGTTTCAACAGTTCCATGTTAACTCTTAGAAAGCTACCTTTTGGTAAATGAATAAATGAAACAAACCAATCCGCTTACATAATTTCGAAATAAACAGCAGCAATTTTTGAGTTATGCCGAAAATCAGAAAAGTTATTTCACTGAATCACCCAGTAAATAAATCCTTTCAAATGTTGATTCAAATTTTTAATGTGAATTTTTGAATTGCATTAAATTATGTTTTGCTGACCTTGTAAAAGATTTTATTGAAATCATGCTCAGATTATAAGATTTGTGAATGTCTGCCGGTGATCCCTCGTCAAATGTCCCCTGTAGCGGATCGCTACACCAATAAGCATGGACTATACTCTGTAATCTGTATGACAGATTAGGCTTCCCAAACTAGCTAAGCTATCACTAAGCTATATAGAGGGAAGAGGCGGATGATGAGGAATGCGCTTATTTGGGATGTGACACGACGATTATGCGCATAGGAGGAAAGCTTTGGCCTTATCAACATGACGGATTAGGTTAAACAAACAGAGGTTAATGATTGGTCACTGTTTGTACGGTGGCACCTCCCAATCTTGGCGTGCAGGCATGCGATGACGTAGCACCTCCCAATCCTGCCGTGCAGGCATGCGATGACGTGTCCCTACATACATCTGTTAATATGTGATTATTTGATGATGTGAATGACCTACTATCCTTCCTCTCTTGTGTGTTGACTTTTTATCTATCCAATTCACAAAGAAAGTTACTGCGTATGTGCAAATGAAATGAAATGAGGTGAGTTTTCGAGGTTGCCTATCTAAAGTGTGCCACGATGTTCGCAACTCTTTTCTAATATGCTTTAAAATAAGAGAGAGTGAAGTGGGGATTAGTTGGTTTCTTGGGAGATAAGTTGTTATGTGTGTACTTACTAATTTTCATTATATTTATATTCAATTTAGTCCATCATTGCATTTAATGGGTTATCAGTACTTCCTTTATTATATGGAATTTTTTTATTCTCCCTATTCAGAAGGATTTTAGCCCGATGATACTTGTCTGGCTTCTTATTATTTACTGGTCTGCCTCTTATTTTAATTCCTATTTATTTATCCTGCCTAATGCCCCTTCGAATCCTTGGGTAAAGTTATCTCAAATTAAATGTCCATGATATTTATTTATTTCAAATGGCAGGCGTTTTGATAGATGCCATAAGCCATTTAGCTGACTTCGGGCTTCACAGAGGGAAGATTCATCAAAGTAGCAGAAAGTCGTGGGGTGGGGAACAGAAGGTCGATTCACAGATGTAAAAGAGGCAGACAGACACAAAGGTAGAGAAAAAGGTAAGGTGATTACTGTGAAAGGGGTCGAATATGACAACCAGAGGGGTCGTGGTAGTTTGAAGTCAGAAGTCACATGCCGGTTAATAGACTTTTTTGCCGTATGAGTATACGTTGACCAGGGTGCATCACGTGGAGGTAAGTCTATCGCACACCCCATTTTCATGATATAATATCACGAAACCGGTAATTTAATTAAAATCGGCCAATATGCATTATGAAATTTATCTACGTTAGAAAATATAACACAACGTAACATTGGTTCGGGTAATTCCTATTACAGTTATTGCTATTATTAGGGTCTCGCGCCAATAACCAATATATTTGGCCTTAGATACAGGTTGCTTATTATTATTAAACGGTTTTAAAGTATTTTTTATCAATAATACTTTAGAATGAATCACCGTTATGAAAAATTTCAATTCGCATTCGTACTTAATATATATTTCACATATTTCACAGCGAAGGTGAAATAGATTGTACTACTACTTTGCCTCTAATCAAGAGGTCATATGAAGGGTTTTGCGTTGAAACTCATGTCACTACTCAGATATGAAATTATAAGAAATCCTGTTCTGTGTGACACCTCGGACACATGTCAATTGAACACTTGAAGTACTTGTTAATCAGGATACAAGTAAAAGAGCTTTCTGAAATCATTGATGCAGTTCATGGTTTAGTCTGTGTTACTTAGAAAGAACAGCAATTCAGTCAAAGTCAAACTTGAACTGCAGACGAAATCAGCAATACCTACATCAAAACTTCTATTCATACCATTGCGATTGCACCAAATTGACTATGAGAAATAGCTCTGAGGTTTGTTAGGCAGTTGTGTCATTGTTTCTAAAAGGCGTCAATTGATTGGTTATCACGGGAAAATATCGAGGTTTCTTTAGTTCTTAGGCGAAGAAGTGTTCAGATTTATTTAATGTCACTAGAGAAAGTGCCTTATGCTTATTTCACTTTCACCTATCGTCTTCCATGTGTTATGGTAATCTAACCATTATTCCTAAGGGTTTGGGTCCGCTAGAGATCCCGGGTGCATATCAGTGTTGTAAGACAATTTCGCTCGAAGATTGCAACCATCGTGTGATCAATTTCTGCCACTGCCTCATGGTAAGACTATGCTGATTAGTTTTACTGACATGCTTGAAAATGCAGCTACCCAGTGTTTTCCTTCATTGGACAAATTTTCAGCAATAAAAATGATTGCGGACGCATCCATACCGGTTCAGAATTAAATTTTTCACTCGATACGTTCTGCTTGCACTTCTATCACTATGGGTCCTTCCGCAACTAGATCTGAATTGCAAAAAAATCTCTCAAAAAAATACGACATTCATAGTAAAGAAATGGGAGGTTTACTATTAAATTCTCCTTTAATATTGTTAATTTCCACACGACAAGCATACATAGAACTCAACTCTTCAACTTTCCCAATTCATTTCAACTGAACACGAAATTTGTCTATTAAAACAGGCATCGAAAGTAGATAACTTTAAAGCCCAATCGTCCTACCCACAAGTTGATTTTACAATATATTGTTTAAAATTAGATGTTCTGCCATTGCATCTGAATTAGAAAGCAGTCCATTAAGCATTTGTGAATCTATTTAATAAGATGATTGAAATTAATTTCGTCCTTTTACCCACAGAATAATAGGAAACATTCGAGTGTGCTGACAACGCGGTTCACTTGATCCAGCTTCGACCACCCTTCCAACCCATTTCTTACGAATATGAACCTCATCTATTACCTCTCCAGAACATTTTTGTGCTTCTGGATAAATCTCCATATAATCGTTTTCCTTCCATTTTTTCTACCATTTTGACTATGTATGCTTACGAGATTCAAGGTGAATCTGTATATGTGGTAGATTACGTACCTCTACTTGTTTTGTACATTTTTCCATTCTAGAATTTCGGGCTTTATAATCCCATCTGAATGACCAAATTGTTGTAAAAATCGAGTCGGACAGAGCAATATTTACGTGAAGTTTCGATGAATATTTTGTGGCTGCGAATTTATTCAGTAGATAGTAGTCATATACATAACAGCAAATGTCTCTTAGATTTTGACCTTTGTCCTTTGGACAATTGAATTGGATAAAATAACAGCAAACCTGTTCCCTACATACGCACTTTTTGTCTGCCAGCCATTGTCAGGGTTCCCTACGTATGATTTTATCATGAGCCGAGCTTGTGTGGTATTAGTGAATGCTCCTGAAGTGGGACTTGTCTCAACATCGTGAAAATCCCCTGGTATGAGAAAAGCTAAGATGTCTCGAAATATGTGACAGTAACAGAGGGTATTTTGCAAAAATGGTTTATGCTGGCTGTGGGATCCTGGTACAGGAACATTACAGGGTTCTCCAAGTTCCGATTACCAGCTGGGCGAGAGACCCATGCACTCTCAAGCGCACTCACTCCCTAGCGCGATCAGTTGCACGGCCCCACGTTTGAGGCTGATGGTATTCACAATAGATTGTTTCGTTTAGCCATGTTAGCGCTGTGTTCTCCACAGTCTTTACTGGCTTCACAATATGATCATCGTTTTCCTCACAGGCAGATAGTTTGGGAACTAAAGAGGGAGGGGGTGGGGGTACAAATAAAGAGGTGTAAGTTGTTGAAATAATCATTTTACTGAATTTGAGATGTTGATTGATTTGCTTTGAAAGAGGGAAATAAAATAGGTTGAACTAGTTAACTTTATCCAAATATGCGCAAAGATGCATCACAAAATTAATTTGGGCGTCAGAGTGGAAATATTTCCAAGGTGACCAGGTAAGTGTTTTTGTGGTACTATCATGAAGGTATGAATCAAGCCCTGCTCACGTTTCAGCAGTTTTCAGTGTTCCTGGGTCATTTAGTAAATCCAGACAATGATTAAAAGGCTCGAAATAGTTTCCCCCAAATAAGCATACTACTAGCGGCATTGTATTAGTAATTATAAATTTCCTCATTATCAACGGAAGTGAACCAGAAAGCTCAGTGGTTTATGCTACAGCTGTAAAAGAATTGATCCAAAGTTAGCTCTCTTCAACAAAATTTCTTTCATAGAAACAGCTGCGAGTCAAATAAAGTGCAACTAAATAGGCAAGATGGAAGCGAAATTTCCTTGTGAAAGATAATCCTATAAGCTTATCATACTCTAATCTCAATCACAAGAACACAAATAAACATAGACCAATTTATGGCTATAATTCCAACAATAAAATCACAATTTTTGCTTGATCCCAAGCATTCGAAGCTAACATAAGTAGCCCTCAAAAGTTTTAATAATCTCCACATAATTAACAGTCTTATAGGTCTTCACGACCCATCTTCTTAGAGCTGCTGACCAGATATTTCTTCAGTCCGTCAAGTAGTAGTAGAAGTATTAGTAATTGTAGTAGAAAATAAATGCAGAAGAATGACGTTAATAAATGTCATGCTGCATGCAAAGTATTACCATTGTCCTATTGAGGCTATGACCTGTCTTGTAGTGCCTTGTGCTGTTCAGTTCGGTACACTACAATTTGAAAAAAGTCGAAGTTTGGGAAGTTCTTGTATCATTCGTTCCATATTCTGGACATTTGCACTTAAATATCTCATCTGAGAAGCTAGTGGTTGTGAAAAATCGGGTCAAGCAAGGTTATATTCACGTGGAGTTTCCGTGAGTAATTGGCGGTCACGAATCTCGTCAGTTAAGCAGAAGACTGTAATTGGATGCACTTGTGTGTATTCTGTGGAAATTGGTAGATAACAGGAGACTTGTGGTTAGTGACTGAGTGAAATTTTTCTTGGGGATGTCTGAGTTTGAGGCACAAAATCTGGAATTGTACTATGACGCAAAGGATCTCCATTGTCACATGAAGGAAGTCCGTGGAAGTGCCCACAAAGGTAAGTCTCATTATGTGTCTATCTTCAATCCACCGGTGTCACACAAGGCTAATTAACGAGGATATTATGCCTTGAAGCCAGGGAGGGAAAGGGTGGAGAATGGAGTAGTAGATAAGAAAACAAAAAGTGATTTTCTTTTCAATTTCACACTTTGGCTGTGCAAGAAGTCACATGGAGATCGTTTATGCGTACGTGTTTTTTTCATAGGCTTTCTCATCGCCCAATTTTATAATAGCCTTGAATTATATACTGTGAAGGCAGTGGCTTGCAATATGGATTGATTTGTTTAGCCTTGCCAACACATCACTTGTTGCCAAATCTTTCCATCGATGGCTGAGGAGTTGGTGTGGAAAAGACGCAAAAGTCAATCCGTTCTGGCAAAACGAAAATAACCAAGAAAAATACGTAATGCGGTCTCTCAAGAGTTTGAACTCAGTTCCAGTTCCAGAACTCAGTATCGACACGGTACGAGGGAATCTTGAGTTGACAGCCTCACAAATATGCATTGCAGGGATTTAGTTCGTTCGTAGATGATCTTCGCTTCATTAACAGGGTGTGTTTTGGCACATTGCATACGTAATCTAGTAATTTGCAGGTTACTTTGGGGAGAATAAGAAGACTATGGCGAAGTGAGCTTGTGTCTTTTGAGTTATTACTTATTGTTGCTAGACTCTCGGAGTGGTGGGATACCTGATCAAAACCGGTATGTTGGGTGAGGAGGTTAGACCCGAATTCGGAGATGATTTTACCCGATTCGGATAAATCAATGCAAAGTTCTTGTAGTCATACTTCTTTTATCCATGAGAGTAAATATGTCGTGGATTTTGACCTGATGAAAAGAGGATTTTACGAACCCCATGTGGTCTCTAGTGTTTATGTACTTTTCGATGTGATAATTATAGGGGACTTACGATGAGGACGGGGTGGTTGAGAGTACTGAGGTAACAGCAGCAATGAAATGAAGAGGGTTAGGGGGGGGGTTAGAGTTGTGAGGCTGAATGCCCAGGTTCAGAGCGGCTTTGGTTTCTCAGGCCTTATCAAGGCACCTTGTCCTACTTTGGGACGAAGAACATTGAATCTCAAAGTCTGCATAACTTTTCATATTTATTGACCTTATGCTGCAATGTTCCTGAATGATGGCCGATTTAAACAATGATTTCTACCGCGTCACTATTTAAACTACCATAAACAGTGCCATTGAAGCACCTTAGGTGTTAGCAGAATTCTTGGTCGAGTGAGTTTAAGAAGATTGCTTTCTCGAGATTTGGAACTTTTGGAATTAGGGCTCTTGACTAGGAGACAACTTCATTTTCTGTAGGAGAACTCCTTGAACAATGTAAATGTAAATTTCAAAGTTCAGCGTAAATGACTCTTAAATGTTGGCCAATCATTTCAGTTGGTCAATCAGCAAACAAGTTTACATGAAAACAGCGGCAAATATGAGTTTATTCTAAAAGAAAGAAGTATAAGAAGAGGTAGAGAGTAGAGGAGACATCAACAGCGAATGCTCCTCCAGCTTGAGGGAATTTCTAATGCTCGAAAGGCTCTTTGAGGAGTATGAAGACCTGAAACAGATCAAGAACAGAATAGAATTGGAAAATGAAAGTGAGAAAGCGATAGAAAAGACAATAGAAAAAGAGACTAAGACTGAGAGAAGGGGAGACGAAGATGAAGATAGCGAGTGCTCGTCTAGATTGAGGGAATTTCTAATGCGAGGAGTATGGAGAAGAAGAGGAGAGGAGAGAGCAAGAAAATTTAGAAATGGGATTTAAAAGTTTCGAGGTGGCCAGTTGGGTACAATCGAAGAAGAAGATGAAGAGAAGGAGGACAGTCGGATGAGAGAAATAGGAGAGGAATACGAACACCCAGGACACTTTCGTAAAGAAGAAGGTAAGGGTGAGGCTTCCGGTGAGGGCGATCACATACATAGGGTGAAGCTGATGTCATTTGAAGAGTTCTGTGCTGAGAATTTTGCAGTCTCTTTAACGTTTGTCGAAGACATGATGGAGGAGAGCAGAATCTCACAGAGGAGGCTTGAACAAGCACATGAGGAATTAGGAGATGGTAGACAATTTGGAGAAAGAGCTGAAAGGCAATGAGGAGAGTGATACACTTTCCAAACAGAAACGTCTGCGACGGAAAGGCCTGTGCAAAGCCAAGTGACCTTCAACAACTCATCTTATCTCGCGGTCTCTTCTCAGCGGCATTCCTCTCAGTCTCCTTCTTCCCTTCATTCCAGAAAATTATTAAAAAAATTGACAAAATATAAAAAATAACAAAAAAATCTAAAACTACGAAAAAGCAAAAAATATTATAAAAAGGACAAAAACTCCGTGGTTCCATATTTATTACTTATTCATTTTTAGCCTTTCAATGATAACTCTAACTTTTCCTTCCATTTCACCAACATGTACTGGAGGGTACTAGAGAATCAGATTTCAAATCCTCACAGTTGGGAGCAACTCTCATCAAGGGATTCTCAACAATAATCATTCATGCTCTGGCATATTTCCTCCTTAGGAAACTCACACATTCTCATAGGTCCTACTTATATGCCCTAATTTCGCCATCTTGGGGTGCGCGATAGACTTACATCCACGTGGTGCACCCTGGACAACGTATTTTCTTACGGAAAAAAGTCTATCACTCGGCATACGATTTTGACTTCTATTTATTATGATTAGCTTTAAAAAAGGCTATAAGAAAAATCGTCCTCGTCAGGGCGAATCACAACGTCTTCAGATCCTCTAGTGGAATGCTGGAGGGATGTCACCGGACAAGAAGATCCAAGTCCAGAAAATCCTACAAACCTATGATGTAGACATTTTCACAATTATGGAAGCAAACATTTCGGATGACAAACTGAAGTACTACCAATTCCCAGGTTACACTCTGTACCTTCCACCTAAATTCCGGCAAGTTGCAAGTGGAATTCTAACTGGAATAAAAGAAGGCCTCATCTCACACTACGATCTAATCAAGAGTATGGGCTCGACACAAGACAAATGTGAAATAATCAGATTAAATGTTTGGAAATGTCAAAACCACTTCAAGATATATGCAGTCTATAATCCACCCCAGAATTGTCCCAACTTTGACTTTCTGAACATCGATCACAAAACTATAGTATTAGGAGACTTCAACGCCCATTCCACCAGATGGGGCTACAAGGATACAAACATAGCCGGAAAGGAAATTGAAGACATGCTAAACAGCATCCCTCTGGAACTTATTTACAGCAATGAGAATCTGGCTACATATTTGCACTACAATGGAACCAGAACAACTCCTGATTTACTCTTGGCTTCAAGCGGCATCAGTGAGCATACACGCCGCAAAATAATTGGCGATCCTGGTTCTGGTCACAAACCAGTCATTGCTAGTATTAACATCGGCAGCAAAAGCTTGACAAGGAAAGTGCCAACTAAGCTATCATGGAACTTCAAGAAGGCTGACTGGTCTAGATTCACTAACCTTTCAGACAATGAACTTCATACAAGTCTCCTCAACTTCAACCAACATCCTGACAAACTTTGCAACGAAATCACGAATATTATGATCAGATGTGCAAAGAAAACTATTCCCCTAGGCAAGACTAAACATAATCGAGTGTTTTGGTCTAAACACCTTGAGGAACTGAAAAGAAAACGGGACGCCCTTCGCAACACTACTGATCAGACTGGAAGAACGAAAGACGTACAAGCCTGGAGACGACAATCAGCTGTCCTAAGGCAATACATCTTAAAAGCTAAACGGACTTTCTTCGACAAGTTCATCTCAAATATCAACTATCAAAGTGATAGCCAAAGCACTTTCAAATTCCTGGGTGACCTCCTAAACAACAGAGAAAGACCCAAGAAAGAACAAATACATTTAAGCAACAAACTGCTCACCACCGACTCCGAAATAGCTAACTGCTTTGTGAGGTTCTATTCTCACAAGCAAAAGAAAAACTCTTTTGTCGGAAAATCTTCAAGAGATTTAAAGATACAAGTAAGACAAGTAAGTAATGCTGCGATAAAACAGCTAAAGTGCAAGAAGTCTAATGGCAAAGACGGTATTCATCCGGAATTTCTAATTAGAATGGGACCAAAAACCAAGGAAACCATGCTGACGCTTTACAACAAAATCTGGGAGACCAGTCTCGTACCTAAGCAATGGAAAGTTGCCATAGTAATACCAGTACTATAAAAGGGCAAAGACCCTAGCAACNAAACTGGTGCGACAACAATGGAATGGTAATAAACACCGCGAAAACTGCATTCCAAACTTTTTCTTTGGCCCGTCACAGCATAAACCCACTTCTAAGGTACACTTCTACCACTTCTACCATAGAAAAAAACAATGAGTTCTCATATCTCGGAATGACTTTTGACACAAAGCTAACGTGGAAAAGTCACATTGCCAAAATAGCAGAACGAGTCTCCAATAGACTGAATGTACTGAAACGTCATGCTGGTAGCGTATGGGGCTGTGCACGCTCAACTCTCAACACCACTTACAAGATGTTTATTCAGCCAATAATGTTGTATTGCTGTGAGCCACTCATTACAGCCACAGAGGTGACTCTCAAACCACTCGAGAAGGCACACAACCAAGCATTACGACTAATTACTAGAGGGATAAAATCAACACCCATTGATGCAATGCTCCTAGTTACAGGAAGCACCACAATATGTTCCCTTATCAATGAAAAGGCCTTGATCCTGTATGAGAAGCTACTGCGCATTCCCATGGACAAGTTCATCAGCACCTATGAGAATAGACCAAGACATCTGAAAACGCAATATGGTCTAATACAGAAAGCCATAGAACTGAAGAAAGCATTACTTACTCCATACAATCGGCCTTCACTCCCCAAAGACGATTCACTCGTATCTCTGCAGTGCACGTAACCAAGCTGTATCTATTCAATTTTCGCATTGAAATGTCCTTATGGATGAAGACTACCACTTATGATTGCTGTACAAAATGAACTGCAAATTAAACTTGACACAAATATTAATACAATTAAAAGGTCTTGTAGACCAGTGTAAATGTTAAACCTATTATTTGGTCTACGTATCGATACAAAAACGAATAGTAAACACACCCCTCCTGTATAAATGAAACTAATATTAAAAATATCATCTAATTTTAAAAAACATACGTGGGACATGTCATCGCTTGCACGCACGCCGTTACTGGGACGGGCGGCCGTCCAACTCGTTCAGCAGAGACGCCACCTATCCTTTGCACTGCGAGTACTCTTCACTTCGCGCAACTCACTCCTTGGTAATCCCCTTTTTCTAACAACCATCCACTTACTCGAATCTTCTTTCTCTATCTCTCTCCTACTACCTCACAATGTCGAAAGACACAGAATTTGGTGACAATACCCCTGGTTATCCATTTGCTAACCCCGTTTTCGACCCTGATTGTCCCGGTACCTGGTTTCTTCGATTTGAGAACATCCTCAGAGCGAAAGGCGTTACCAAACGAACAAACTGGTTCCATTATGCCGCGGGATCACTTCAGGGATCAATCATGAACCAATTCAGTAATATCATCGACAAGAAGGCAGACAAGCAAGCCGTTAGCGTCGGAATACTGCTTCCCGTGAGAGTTGATTACACCAGTAAACCAGATATGAAACCAAAACCATATTAGCAACAATGCTTCTCTTTAAGCTAAAAATGCAATATATGTACAAACAACACAATGCTCCCCCCCCCCTCCAGAGCGTTTTTTGTCAGCTGAAATGCAACGGAAACGCTCGAAAAATAAAGGTTAAGGTATAAAATCAACCATTTGAGAGGAGAGGTAGATCTTCGGCCTTAGCGTAACAGCATTTTGGGTAGAGGTGGGACAGGTGTTGGAACTGCTGAGACGGGATATTTGGAGTTGGAGAGTGGACTGCTCATGTTCGCCGGACAATAGGCGTGAAAGAATTTTAACTTCAAGAAAGTTGAAGGGGGAGCATAGAATGCAGAAGTTCTTCAATCACCTGGAAGAACTACGCATTCGCCATGTAAGAAGCCTTGACGAGGTTTTTCATAAATTCAATGCTTATGAAACCACCTTCATGAATTCATCAATCGGTGTTCAATTGGGTGAGGTTGCTAGGCAGCAGATACGGGCATTGAATAATGAGCGATTGGCAAAGGGGAAGACTAATACCTACTTGAGAAACCTCCGCGAATTGCAACATTTTTACCATGCGAAGCATCGAGAAGATATTGAGTTATGTGCTAGCTGGTTGATAGTGATGCTCAACGCAAATATCGTTGGTATTGGTTCCCGTCCAAGCGACATTGTACAAATCATGGACAAAAAAACAACCAAAATCAATATACTGTTTCCGAGGCCAGACCAACATTGGTAAAGCGCTGCTACCCAATCTTATAACCTCCAATCTTTTGATTGGAACTATGTGTCGTCGTGGTGATCAGACCGTCTTTCATTTCGACAACTTGCTCAGTGGTACATTTGCCCCTAATGGAGGAACCAAGGATTACAACAGCGGCAAAGAATGATTTGACGTATCTCCTGGGAGGAGACAGGTTTGAAGTTGATGTGACGTATGCAGCAAGGCGGTTCCTCGCAAGAATGCCAGTCATAGCAACCACTAACGAAGACCTTGGCTCCCACTTATGGCCAAGTGACCAGGCGGCACTAATCCCGAATGGGGCAATATGCTTTGAATGGGCAAATCACGCCAGGGTCACCAATTTGTAGAGGATTGCTACACTAATAAAGCCTGACTGACTCAGAAATCCCTTTGGTAGATTCTCCTACATCTGGCTAGACTCCCAGAACTAGCTAAGCTATAGCTCAGCTATAGAGGAGACACACGTATAGCACGGAAAAAGTTTATTTAGTAAGTAAAACGTGAGTATAGTACACACTCAGGGAGCTTAATCATAATCAGCATGGCGGATTAGGTTAAACAAACAGAGGCTTCTGATTGGCCACTGGTTGTGCGGTTGTCTGCACAGAGTTGTACGGCTGCACCTCCCGATTCTGGCATGCATGCATGAGAAGACGCGTTAAGCGATGACATGTCCCACNTTCGCACTATAATGATCCTCCCCTCTGTGAAGCCCGAAGTCAACTATAGGGCAAATGATAACTTTCAAAACGTCTGCCATTTTAAATAAATAAATAAATAATATGGGTAACGTGTACATGTAGAGAGCTTAAACTTAATCAGCATGGGGGTTTAGGTTAAACAAACAGAGGCTTCTGATTGGCCACTGGTTGTGCGGTTGTCTGCACAGAGTTGTACGGCTGCACCTCCCGATTCTGGCATGCATGCATGAGAAGACGCGTTAAGCGATGACATGTCCCACAAACCTAATGATATTACTAGTATTTATTTATTTATTTCAAATGGCCCTTTAGCTGACTTCAGGCTTCACAGAGGAGGAGAGGGAACATCAAAGTGACAAAAAGTCGAGAGAGGGGGGGGGGACAGAATAATGATTCACAGATGTATAGGAGACAGATAGGCACAAATGTAAGACGAGATCTGCTGAAATGGTAGAATATGGCATACAGTGGGGTGATAGTAGTTAGAAGTCAGAAGTCAACTGCCAGTTTATAGACTTTTTTGCCGTATGAGTATACGTTGCCTAGGGTGAACCACGTGGAGGTAAGTCTATCACACACCCCATGATATTACTAGTATAATTAAGTAGAAATTAATAACATAGAACATGACCATTCTCCGACTCGAGTTTATGTAACTAATTATTAGTACAATAAAAATTATATGTCTATCATGCAGGCCGCATAATAAGCACAACGGTAACAGTAATAAATAGATTTTTTCCAAAATAATTTAACAATTTAAAAAGAAAGGATCTTAATAAAATCGCTAAAAATAAAATAAAAAATATTTGGCACTTAACGAATACACACCCTACAGTAAAGTAATCAAAATGACTTCAATAAAATTATAAAAATTTCCATTAATTGGCTAAACGCCTGACATACAAATAAATTTGAATATTCATGATTTCAACCTCCCAAACAAGCCAAAGAACGGTATATACTGACCCTATTAATAAAATATTAATTGACGACTCTCAATGTAACTACCGGAATTGTTAAAAGTTGAACTCGTAAAAATAAAAAAGAAACTCTTAAAGCTAATCCACCCATTGCTTTATAGGCAATGGCGTATTCATTTGGGTCTGCCCTTTATACATGCTTCAATATCACTAAATGATATCATAAATACTAGGAAAATGTGAAGCTCTTAAAATCGTTTATTCTAAAATATGAAAGAAGTCAGAGAAAAAAAGAATTAGGAAAGAGAGGATTATTACTACCACTCCTAGGTAAATAAAATAGAAGTAAAATTTTGAAGCCTAATATTAAAAATCCCGATCGGACATGAACTGATAATATAGGAATCAAAGTAGTAATACTATTAGAAAACCCACTAACAATAAACTTATGTAAATTTGGACCAAAAATGGGTAAACTTTTACATATTGGCAGATCAATATGATAGTTGATGTCATGGTAGAATATAACCTTTAAAAGCTTCACCCATTAATAGTAAGTTCAAAATAAAGCCTTCTCTTCAGACAAACTCCTTAGAGAAAGTAAAAAAAAATAAAATAAGATTTTTTTACCTCAGATATACCAATAACGCAAACACCAAGTGTGAAAGAAATTTTTGGATAAATTCATTTCCAAAGAAAGTCTGAACAGATAATATCACACCAGTTAAAATTTGTATATCCATAAATATAGAAATCATAAAACCTTTACATCAATAATAATTTAAAGATCAATTTGCAGGAAGATCAATTAGTTTGAGACGAAAACCGGTAGTAGCCAATACAATTACAATTCGGTAGCTTAAATAAGCTATTGGTAATTAACGAAAATATGCGAAGATTGGGCAAATATTCACGCACAATAGACAAAGTGTCTATATCAAACAGAGTTCTTGAACTTCGATTATAACCAATAATATTGAAACCATCTATTAACGAACAAATTAAACCACTAATATGAAAGTTTGGATCATAACTTCTATTCATTACTTCTTCAAACTCAAATAATTGGAAGAGAACAAATAAAGAGCCCAGTTTCATATTCAAAATTAAATTCATCCAACAACTCCACTTGCATCATGTGAAATGATGATATGAAGTTGCAACTAAATTAGACTCTAACAGTTCAGAACACACTAAAAATGGTAATTCTAAGCTACGATCAAGAACCTTTGAAAATTTCTGACCGACCATGAAAGCGGTAAACCTTCCTTTACTTAGTGGTGTTACATTTGTAAACAAAATTACATCTGTAATACCTGTCGCCGTCGAAATGCCCTAATTCTAAAGCTGGAATTTAAATTAGGTGCTTTGTAATTCAACTATTTCGTTCTTTTAAAGTTAAAATGCATTCTCGAAATCCTTTTTTGACACTTGGTATTATATGCAGGCAAATCCTTTTGTCTTACAATGGGAATTTAATTTTATGTTCTAAATAGTTGGTGAAT